CCCTCTATGCAAATATTCAAAATTTCAGGTTTTGTACCCACTTCTCTCCCCCATGTCAGTATCTGAGTGCATGAGAGGGCTCCCCTGGCCATGAGGAGACGTCCTTGGATCCATGTGTGTTCTATGCATTTTTGCTGGAGTCCCACAAGGCATGACCTGGCCTTCCGGGTAACGTGTTGATGTGTACTGTGGGAGTTTTGGCATCCCATTTGTCCCTGGAAAAGTGCCTTAGTGGGCTCTTCATCCTGGCCAGGCCTTTGCCTGAGCTCTCCACCTCTCCAGTCCTCTCCCTGGGGCATGTGAGAATTTCTGGGTCCCCTGCATGGCCAGGGAGGCCAGGAGTCCTGCCTTGGTCATGCCTCCCTGGCCAGCTTTGTTCTGCCCTGTACACGGGCTGAGTATTAGGCAGACTTCTAGACGTGTCAGGTCCACCCCCCCGGCCCCCCCCGCCACGATCAATGAGCTCAGGGAAGGATGACTCAAGCGCCTGAGACTCTCAGCTCCCAGGGACATTTCTAAGCACCCCTGCACCCTCACCCTGGGGTAGTGAGCTCATGACGGTCTAACTTCCTCGCTATCTTCATCCTCTTTGTTCCCAAGACTGCAAGGGCAAACTTTCCATCCTTTTCCTCTGCCTGCTGAGAATGCCTCTACAGAGTCCAGGATCTACACCCCCTTGACATGCCTCTTGCCACAACAAAGGAATTTAGAAAATCCTTTCTCCAGACAAAGGATGGCTTTCCAGTCCACTTGGTTGCCGGGAACTCAAACAAAAATCTCGTTGATGTTCAAGGATGGGCAGTGACTTGCTCCAACATGATCTACCCTTGCCCCAGCACTGAGGAACCACAGTGGGTGGGACCCCCTGGGCTATAAGACTCACAGGCTGAGGAAACAGATCTGAAACTATTTCAAAATATAATCTCATTTACATGCTCCTCAAATAATATTTACGGTGGGCCTGCCATGCGCCGGTCACTAGGTTAGGACATAAACACTCCTTGAAATTGTTTTTAATAACTGCTTTATTAAGATATAATTGACATGCCCTACAGTTCAGTCTTAAAAGTGAACAACTCAGTATTTCTTACTATATTCACAGAATTGTACAAACATCACCACTACCCAATTTTAGAATATTGTCATCACCCCAAAAAGAAACTCCAAACTCATTAGCAGTAAACTGCCTCCCACCCCCAGTTTCCCCTCCGCCGGCTCCTGGAAATCACTAATCTACTTTCTGCATCTATGGATTTGTCTCTTCTGGACACTTCATGTAAATGGAATCATACAATAGGTGGCTCTGGTGACTAGCTTCCCTCATTTAGTAGAATGTTGTTAAGCTTCATCCATGTTGTACTGTCAATACTTCATTTATTTTCATTGCCAGTTAATGCTCCATTGTACGGATGCGCCTCATTTTATCCAGACATTCGCCAGTTGATGAACATTTGGGCTGTCTCCACTTTTTGGCTGTTATGAAGAAAGCGACTATGAATGTTCATGTACAAGTTTTTATGGGGACGAATGTTTTTATTTCTCTTGGGTACATAGTCCGGAGTGGAATCGCTGGGTCACATGGTAACTCTGCTTCAAAGTTTGAGGATGTCAAACTCTTTCCCACAGTGGCTGTCCCATTACCATTTAACATTCCCACCAGCAGTGTATGAGGGTTCCAGTTTCTCCACATCCTGCCCAACACTTCATGTCTTTTGATTTCAGCCATCCTAGTGGGCGGGCAGCGTGTTCTCTCACGGTGGTTTTCGTTTGCATCTCCCTGATGGCTAAGGATGGTGAGCATCTTTTCATGAATTCATTGGCCATTTGTATACCTTCTTTGGAGAAATAACTATTCAGATCCTTTGCCCATTTTAAGTTGGTTATTTGTCTTTTTATTGTTGAGTTGTAAGAGTTCTTTATATATTCTGGATACAGTTTCCTTTTCAGCCCCTTTTGGATTTTAAGAGACATCTAAATCAAGGTCAGACCAGGGGTTGCCATTTTAATAGACTGCAGCGTTCACTGCAAGGTGACAGAAATTTTGCAAAGAATGCGTTCCGTTCCCCTTGGAGGGTTCAGAGGGTTCGTGCAGGGGCAGACCTTGGAGAGGAAGGACACAGAACTGCCTGGGTGGGCCTGGGCCTGCTCTCTGTTCAATCACACCCCTTTCAAAACTCCTGTTGGAGAGGAGTCTGAGATTCAACAGGCTGGAGGGGGGTGGGGATGCTGGTTGATTAGTGTGTACCGAAGGCAGGATCAGTTTGGGGGAATTTTCTTCCTTTTTTTTTAAGAGCATAGGCTTTTATTTCTTGGGCAAATGAGGTGCTACATAGAAAAGCATTTTGGAATTACAGAGGGATATGCAAATGTAAGGTGATGTTACTGTTTCTATTGTTATTTGTGGGAACCAGTGAAAAGCCTCTCTAGGAAGACATGGCAGAGCCTGCGTGGGGTTGAGGGTGTGCAGCATTTTAGGGAGGGCTTGGGGGGTGAAAAGGAAAGGAGAGAGGAGGGTAGCAGAGTTTGCAAATGTTGGTTATGTATGTGTGTGTGTGTGTGTGTGTGTGTGAGAGAGAGAGAGAGAGAGACAGACAGACAGACAGACACAGAGAAGACCTTTGTGATTTCTGGCATGTTCTTTTACCACCCGTATGATTATTTATTTAATATTTTTCTTTAAATGGGCTCCTATTTCTTTTAATTAAATATATTTATAAAGAAAACTTTATATCACAGTTACAAATGGCAAAAATGCATCATTTTCAAACTGGAATGTACCATGTAAACAAATAGAACAAAAACCAAAATGTTCTTTAATTCTAGCTAGAGGCCGTGCCTCATAGGCCTGGAAAACCGCTCTGGACTGGCTCACCTCTCCCTGTCACTCAGGACTCTGCTCAGAGGGTGCCTCCCCAGAGAGCCTCTCCAACACCCCCCTGTCCCCCCCATCCTTGCTTTATGTCTTCCCGTGCTCATCACTATCTAGGGGATGGTGTTTTTCCTCTGTGCGTCTGGTGCCACGCAGGCAGGGCCTGTCTTATTCATGATCCCCACAGCTGAGCTCGATACATAGTTGTCGAATAAGTAGCTAAAGCTCTGAGCCCCAGGGCTGTTCTCTAGTTTGTTTTTCTCCTTTTAGCAAGTGTCAACCAGGTGTTAAAGGACACACCAGACCCTGCCACGCTTGACGCTTGCAACTTGCTCTCTCGGGGGGACTGAGCCAGGCTTGAGAAAGAGGCAGCCTTTCAGGGGGTGATCCTCCGGCTCGCTAGCCTCCCGCCTCGCGCTGCGGACCCCCACTTGCCGGCTGGCTAGCTGAGTGACCCCACAGCATCGCGGGACCGCACCTGTGTCCGCCTTCCCGAGGGTGAAGGAGCCATCCCCTGCCCACCTCACACACACACCCGGCAGAGAGAAGCTGCTCGAGTCAATGAGAGTAGGAGCTCAAAGGGCTTACCAGAGGGTGGGATTTAATTACTGACATTGCCTGCTAAAAAAATCCTCCTCTTTTCCCCCAGGCCCAACTTTTAAAAGTAATAATATTATTTACCCTTTGCTGAACACTCATTATGTGACAGGTGTCTTGCTAAGTAAGAGTTTTCTATAGCTATTATTTAATTGTATCCTTGCAATAATTCTATAAAGTGGGGACTTATTGTTCCCATTTTACAGATGAGGGAACTGAGGCTTAGAACAGTTTCATGACTAGCCAGTTGAGGCAGCCTGCCTATGTTCTTAACCGTGACCTTGTAACGATCACATAAATGCTACCACCTCCACGAAGACTTCCTGCCCAGCAGTGTTTCCACTTATAAGGGCCCATAATTCTGTACTATTACCTCTCTGCTGACATCTGCTCCATCTCCCCTGGTGTGTGTGTGTGTGTGTGTGTGGCGAGTCTCTGTTTCTTGAGGGCTGAAACCATTCACTCAGCTCCCCCAGGGTCAAGCCAAGTACTTGACACGCCATAGCTACCCCACCTGTGTCCCCAAGTGAATGAAGGACTGAGGGCCCCTGGGTTTCTTCCGTCAGGCTCTGTCTCCATGGAGGACAGATGAAGAAAAATGAGCAGGTGCATTTCCAGAGATATAAATTCACTCTATCAGAAAGCCCCTGGGGATGTTTACCTAGGACAGCGTGAGGGCGGACGTGTAGACCATCCTGGAGGCAGGGACAGGGGACATGGTTTGGGGAGGACCCTCCTGGCCTGTAGAATTGATGGCTCATGCTGGTCTTCTCCGTCTTTCCAGATTCACTCTCTACCCTGTTCCTCGTCCTCCCAGGAGCGCAGAGGAAGAAGAGAGAGTGATGCTGGGGTATGTAGTCCATGTGTGTTGGGTCGGGACTGGTAGCAGCTCTGTGGTTACTGGCCCAGATTCTGCTCTCCTGTGTGGTTTCCCCACACCCTGACCTTGCCATTGTGGGTTATTAGACCTTCTTCAAGTTATCCTGATTTGAGGGTGCCCTCTGTTCCTGCAGGGACCCTGGTGGATGGGGTGGAACGCCCTTTTCTGTGCTCTTTTGGTCACTTCTTGTGGTCAGAGTCTGTGCTTATTCATCACTGTGTCCCCACACCTGGCCCAGTATTTGGGATGTGGTTCTAATAGTTAACTAACATTACCGAGCACCTACAATGTGCCAACACTGTTACTTGTATTACTCAAATAATCCTCACAGCAATCCCACAACTATCACCTTCATTTTACAGATGAGGAAATTAAGATCCAGAGAGGCTGAGTAACTTGCCCAAGGTCACATGTCAGCGTGTGGCAGATCTGGGATTTGAACCCAGCCAGAGTGACTCGTGAGCCAACAGTATGACTCTCAGCCCTGCTATTGGGTTGCCTTTCTGGTTGCTGTTTGTGTAGGGGGAGGACGTCTATTAGCCTTGGGAACCAAAAGAATCTGCTCCTTTGCTCACTCAGAGGCTCAAGTAGAATGGGCAGAAGGTGGAATGTGGGCCACCATAGCAACTGGATCACCTGGTCACCTCTCCTGCTGAGCCCTTGGGGCTGAGGTTCTACTGCAGGCGGAGAGAAGGGTGGGGTTGGCATGGGGCAGTGTTTGAGGCACCAGATGCACTGGGAGGACTTGGAAGAATACCAGGTGGGTAGATGAGGCAGGATGTTCTGGGCAGAGGTGGGGGAAGCTTCTGGAGGCAGGTGGGATGAACGGGGAAGCTCTTGCCTGAGACCGGAGAGTGGTAGCTGTTGCCTTTGCCAAACCTGCATCCAGGTGAGGCAGACGGCTCCTCCGAGGCCTCCTCCCCCGTTTGTCTCCGGCTCCAGAGCCCAGGGTTGTAGTCTTGACTTCAATCCTCTCTCCAGCTCCGTGACAACATGCTCCTTCCCAAGGCTGTCAGAGCCTGGGGTTTGCCCCTCAACCACCACTGGGGGCCCGAGGGCTGGGTACTTCTGTTTTGCCAGCTGTAGGATAAAAGCATGGGCTTCTCCTCCCCAGGTCCCTGAAACTCCCCCCTCCCCAGGGGGCCAGGGCAGGACCGGATGGAGTGGGCAGGTCACCTCTCTGTGGTTTGTTGTAGGCCCTGACCTTCCTGACCAGAAATGAGATCCTGTGGTGAGTCAAAGGGCCCCTTTCCCTCCCCTTGAGCTGAGCTCTCGTCCTGGTACGGTCTCATGCTGGTCCCTGAGTGTGGGCCCCGCTCAGCACTGGGGAACCTTGGAGGTGAGACCGGCAGGCAGAGACAGACCTCCGCCAGGAGAGCCCAACGCCAGGATTCCAGGGCCCAACGGGAGTTGAGCGAAACCTCAGGCGTCAAGCCACCAGGGGCTCCAAGGCAGGATTGCCTCACAGAATCACAGACGTGGATGGGGCCTCTTGGGGACATGGGGGGAAGGAAGAAAGGACTTAGGAAGCAGGTCTGAAGCCTGGCTGGGTAAACTTGGATGTGCTCTAAGCCCTGGCTCCCTCTCCAAGCCTCTCTTCAGAGCCTGCCATGGGTCCGACACCGTGAGGGCCCTGGGAGCATAACGGGGAGTAGTCCACGTGCCCGTCGTCATGCAGGTTCCCGTCCAGCAGGGAAGGCTCTGGACCGAAGACAAGCGTCATGCAGTGTGAGGGCTGCAGACTCTCAGCCCTCCTCATGGGATCGCAGAGGGCATGAACGGCACGGTGTATGAGTGCTCCGTCCAGGTCCAGAAAGGGGGATTGAAAGTCTTATGTGATTCCTTCTCTTGCCCCACCAGCCCCCTGGCACCCCTTGCCCGGCCCAGCAGAAGACAGGCACTCAGCTGGACAGAGCTGAGCAGACAGGCTCTTGCCTCAGGACCACCAGGCCCAATGACAGGCAGGGGTGAGCTCCTGGTCGGCTTTTGCGAGCCTCACTTGTTAGGTATGAATTGGAAGCTGAGGGACACTAGATATTTGAAGAGAACATTTAAAACCCTGCATTAAATCATGTCATCATAACATTTCAAAACACCAGAGATAATGAGAAGAGGCAAAAAGCTTCCATAGAGAAAACAAAAACAAAAACAAAAGACCTATAGAGGACCAGGAATCAGAATGGTTTGGGAGTTGGAAGACAGTGGCTAAAGGCCTTCAAAATTATAAGGAAAAAATTCCAATCTAGAATGAAGTCACAGTTAAACTAGTACTCAAGAGTGAAAGTGAAGCAACTATTTTTTTGACATGCAAATTACTTTTAAAAATGACCTCTTACGCAACTCGTCTGAGGAAGCTTTTGGAGGATGTGCTCTATTACCACGAGTAAGTAAATGGTGATACTTTGGTAAGCTAGACTCGTACATCCAGGATGCTTCCGTTTTTGTAAAACAAAAAATTCTACATGCGCGCACGTGCGCGCGCGCGCGCACACACACACACGAGAGTATGTGTGGAAGGACACACACATGCACGCTGAGCATAGGTTAGCTTCTTGGAGGGTCCCGGGGTTCTGCCCACGTTGGCGTTAGCATGGCTGCATTGTATGCAAGGTGAAGGGCAGCGCCGAAACGCCCACCCAGTGGCAGCTGCAGCAGCTGAGGGAGCTGATGGCACGCATCCTTTCCTTCTCTTGCCCCACCAGCCCTTTCCACCATCTCCCTTTCTCGGGAGAGAAAGTGGCCCAGTGGGGCTAGACTAAACCCCAGTCCCTTTTGGACAATTGTCCTATGTGGCCTCCGAAGACGCGTGGTGATTTTCCTATTAATGTGACAAAGACATACAGCCTGGATGACGGTGCAGCTGGAGAGATCGGTCCAGCTGAGAAAAGGATCCAAGAGACTGACAGACACAAGAAACCTCTGGATGAGGGTGGCTCTGCCGTCATCTAATACTTTCTCACCTTTTTTTTTTTTTTTTTACTTTCCCACCTTCTTATCTGTGCCGTGCAGAGGACACAAAGGCCTGGTCACCAGATCTGCAGTTGACACACAGCGGGAGGGGCAGACCACATGTGACACACTCTGGTCTTGGGGCTGCCTTGGCCGGGCTCTCCCAGAAGGGGTCTGTCCACCCTCAATTTCTAGCCGGTGGGGATTTTCTTTCACAGCTTGTCCCTTTTGGCCTCAGCTCCAAGTCAGCCGTCCCTGCCTTCTGATCCAATTGTTCCCCGAGAAGCCCCTGACTTCCAGATGTCTCTTTGGGCTCAGCGCACAGGCCCTTCCAGGTCCTTATCTTCAGCCGTGGCCGCAGACTCCACGTCTGGGGCCTGAGCGCAGGAGGGCACCTGTGGCTTCCTTTAGACCTCCGGGGTTGGAGCCCAGGTCGGCCCGACTCAGTCTGAGCCACTTGCCCCGCTCGGTATCACTCAGGGGCTGCTCCGTCACAATCGTGGGCTGCGTGTGAGTCTGCTTGGGGAGCCTGAAGCTTTGCCCCTAGCCCCCACACAGGCTGACCCGGACATGAGGGCCTCTCTTTCCTCTTAGCACCCCTGAGGTCCCAACATTTCCCAGCCTCCAGGCCTTGTCCTGGCCATTAGCGCCTGGCCCTCCTGGAGCACCTATCACTGGGTCAAGGTCAGCGGGCAGCATGGTTACGAGCTGGCTTCCCGGAAGCCGAGGGGCTGGGTTGGAGGCTCAGCTCTGCTCCTTGTAGTTTTGTGACCATGGATGCATTCCTTTGCTGAGCCTGTTCCCACACTTATAAAAAGCCTGATATGAAAGTACTGGAACCTCACATGGTTGTTATTAGGACAATTAAATGATTAAATGCACGTCAGGGGTCAGAACAGCACCGGGCACGTGGGTCAGTGCTGACCAGGGGCTAGCTGTTATTTTCATGCTTTTATTATCTCTTTTTCTGCAAATGAGGAAACTGGCTCAGAGAAATGAAGTGGTTTATCCAAGCCACACAGCTTGAAAGGAGCAGATCATAAAAGCTACCTTTTCAGGCTAAAGATAGGGCTATTTATAAAATGACTGCAGGCTGTCCTGTAGGGCAAAGGACTACTGACCCCATGGGCCCGGGAGCTGAGCCCGGGAGAAAGGAGGAGAAATGGAGGCTGCACCGGACCTGTGTTCTCAGTCCTGCCTGCAAGAGAGGAACGTGGAAGCTCACAGAACGTAGAGGTCCTGCCCCGACCCTGGCCTTGAATGAGAGTCTCTAGCGGTGGATACGGGTGCTTTCACAGGCTCGCCACATGTTTCTAACGTGGGACCCAGTTGAATATCACTAAATAGGGCCTCAGAGGCAAGAGTGCAGAGAAGGGTATACAAATAGCCATAGGAGGCCTGACCTGGAGGGAGCGGGGGGGGGGGGGGGTCACTGCGTCATTTTACAGAAGGGCAACTGAGGCACGAGAAGGGCTGTGGCAGGTCCAAGGTCCCACAGAGTGTGAGCTGCGGGGCTGGTCTCCCCTGTCTCGGGGCCTCTGAGTCCTTAGACAGCCCCTCCCCGTGTCTGGGAGGGAACCACTGCATGGGCTCCTTGATTTCTGGCAGGCTGAATGTGTGAGTTTTTCAAATGGCTTTGACTCTTGAGTCCATTAGTGATTAATTCAGAGTTCCATTTAGAGCCGGCTGATCCATATTTGGAGGAGGAGAACATTTTGTGGCAGCCGAGATGCAGCCACGATTCATCTGCGGGCAGCCCACCCACTCGGCGGCTTGGGAAGGCATGAAATCCAGGCCAGGCCCTCCCCACAGCACCCCTCCCCAGAAAGCTCTCTGGGGAGGCACGGCCGAGAGATTCGCACCTGGGTCGGGGGGGGGGGATCCTTTAGGAGTGAGCAGCACAGTCTGAAGAACCGGGTGTGGGGTGCGGCCCCCACTCTGTCTCAAGCCGTATGACCTTGGGCACACCCCTTAAACTTCCTGAGCCTCAGTTTACCCTTCTTTAGAAATGATCACCCCTGCCCCTGTCCCACAGGAATGTGGGAAAAATCAACGAGAAAATGTGCTTGAGCGCACTCAGCACAGACACTTGGTAAGGGAGAGGAAGGGGTGGCCGTGGCCGTCACCCCTTTCCTCCAGCAGTGCTTCTGACACCCCCCTTCTCCGGGCTCTGGGGAAAAGAGCTTCGGTGTCTGGATTTAACACGCACCACGATGTGACCTTAAGCGTTATTTTACCTCCTTGAGCCCCAGTTTCATCTGTGAAGGAGAGATAATGGCTCCTTCTGTCATGCAGTTCCGTGAAAAATGTCCACGAGCGTTGACAGCTCGCGGCAGGCCACTCCCAGTGGGGAACCCGGGTGGGACCAGGGGAGCAGTCTGTGCAGGGCCTCAGAGAAGTCTTAAAAATTAGTACAACTTACTGAAAGTCAGTCTGCTTTTTCTCTCCTCAGGCCAGCAATTCTAACGATGACAGTGATCAAATACTCCTTTTGACTGGGGCCTGCAGCTTCTGCGGCCCCCTCCTGCTGCCCCCTCCCCTCATGGGCCACTGGACCCTTTCCTCCTCTGTGCTCTTCAGTGCCCCCCATACTTGCCTGGAGAACGTTTCCCCTCACGTACTCCACACGCCGCTTTTCGGCTCCCCCCCAAACTTGTCAGAAGAGTCTCTGGTGATGGTCCAGGGCCCCTTACAAGGCCGAGGGAGCCTGTCCTCCATGAACAGCCATGCGCCATTCTGCCTCCTGTTTTCAGGCCCTTCTCATGAGTCAGCCCAGAGCCAGTGATGGGGGTTATCTCCCCGTTGTCCTGCCCTCTCCCCCTGCACAGCCACACAGTCACCTCGCCCTCTGTCTGTCCCTCACAAGCAAAGCCTGCGGGACGGTGTGGGCCTACAGTAGAGACATCGATCGCGGGGAGCTGAGGCAGGCTGCTCAGTCCTGCGGCCTGAGGAGACGGCCTGGGGGCTGGGCTCTAACCCTGGCTCAGCCACACCCACCGTGTGACCTCTTTTCTCCGGGGGCCAAGGCTGGGGCTGGGCAGATGGCCTGGGTGGCACGCTGGCTTCCCCAAGGGCCTGCTGGCTTCTCCATCTGTAAGTGAGGGACTGGACTGAGCGACCACAGACGTCCCTTCCAGCTCTGACATTCTAGGACCAACACTTGTGGAGTATATCCCATGCTATGGAACACACTCATGGACCTCTCCTCACGCCCGGCTCACCTTTGCACCCCCCTTCCCCCCCCACAAAGTGGGCTGGGCACACCGGAGTCCTCAAGGATGTTTCTAGAAGGGTGGACTGATGTCTAACTGCCTTTACTATGTCACTCAGTCGTAAGTCCCCTTCCTCCAGATGGGCCGGCAGGAGAGGGGCGCGTGGTTTGCCATCCCCAGCTCACTATGGCTCTCTTCTTAGCATCCATGACACCTTCCTGAAGCTCTGTCCCCCTGGGAAGTACTACAAGGAGGCAACACTGACCACAGACCAGGTCAGCTCCCTGCCAGCCCTGAGGGTGAGTGCAGCATGGGGGCAGGGCGGGGCATGCCACTGGGGTCCATGGAGGGGTCGAGGACACTGGGGGAGGGGTGGGCACTCTGGCTGCGGGGGCGTCTGGTGGCAGCCTCTCTGGAGGGGCCGGTGGACCCCCAGGCGTAGGGCCCAGCAGGGCATGGTTTCCCAGCACTTCTCACACGCGTCTGGCCTCACTCTATCCTTGCATCAGTCCCGGAGGCAGGACAGGCGTGATGACTGTCACCATTTCTCAGGTGAGGGACCAAAGTGCACGGAGACAATGCGACTTGCTCCAGGTCTCATGGGGAAGGGGGCGGGCCTTGTTGAGGCTCCCACCTGCCCTGCTGGCTGATCCTCCAGGGTCTGCCTGTGATTCCCTTTTGAGCTTCAGTTATGGCCCCCCACCAGCTTCCTGCTGACGATTTACTCGGCCCGCCCGCCCCCCCCAGGACGCTGCACCAGCCAGCTCTCTTTGCTATCCTTTATGCCCCAAGCCAGATAAGTGGGAAGGTCGGGATTCCCCATTCAGGCCTTGGGGAAGCCAGGGTGCCACCCCAGTCTGTCTGCCCAGCCCCCTCCTCAGCCCTTTTCTGCTCAGGCTGCTTCAGTGGACAAGGGTTTTTCTAGAAGGACTGAGAACCTTCTCAGTTTCTTCCCTGAGAAGCCAGGAGCAGGCCTACGAGCCCAGGGACTGTCGTCCCAATCTGCCTCCTTCCATCTCCAGGTATGACCACAGGAAAGGACACGTGCATTTCTGTCCTTGTCCCCCTTATCCTCTCCCCTTCAATTGAGCCAGTCCTCCCTGACCTAGAGCCTGATAGATGAGAGAGGTGGGCCAAATGTTCCTATCTCCTCCTGGATTTCCCCACTTTCCTGGGCCAAATCTCATAACCCATAGACCCAGTATACATACACACACACACACACACACCCCCTGCCCTTGCTAGAGCAGAGTCCTCGTACAAACCTGCGTCTCAGTCTCCCCACCTGTGCAATGGGCGGAGTGGTGGGGGTGGCTGGGAGTTGTTTCCATGTGCTCCCCAAGGCTCCCTGCACCCCACAGGCTGTGCTGACATGAGCTGTCAGTGACCCCCACCCCCATTCCCAACTTTTAAGGACCATCTTGAGTTTTTTGTTCCTGCTGTGAAAAGGCCCTGCCCTTCCCCCAAAGCACCTAGAAGAGCCCAGAGGTGCACCATAAAAGGGCTCCCCAATCACTTCTAAGATTTGTAATTAAAATGTGTACAGCGCCCAGAGAGGCCGACGTCAGGTTAACAAACCATGGTGGTGTCAGGCTTCCCGATGTTTCATTCTGATCTCAGAGGAAAAATGGTTTGAATTTGTCAATTGTGCAACGAGAGGCCATCTTCACTTCTGTCTGGAACAAGATGGGCCTGCGAGCTGTGGGCACCTCTTGGCAGAGGGCTGAGGGCTCGGGTGGGGCGGGGGGTGGGAAGAAGGTCTTAAGGGAGAGATCACACAGGTGAAGGGGCACGCATTCAACTCGGGCTACGGACCTTGTTTTGGGCAGAGACAGAGAGAGAGCAAAGAACTAGGTACTTGAGATGGAGGCAGGAACAGAGAAGACAAAGGAATAAGAAGGGGTGTGGAGGGGGAGGGTGACGGGGCAGCTGGGAGCTGGGGTCTCAGAGAGGAAAGGAGCACGATACTCATAAAGGTGAGGTAATTGGAGAATGTGCCTGTGGCAGACACAAAATGGGGGGCCCGTCCTCCTGGTACCCCCTACTCACACACACACCCACCCAGGCCCACACAGGCACACCTCCACATCCCCACCCCTCACACGTGCTGGCTGGGGAGGGGGGTCTCAGAACTAGACTATTCACTCAGGGGCCAGAGCTGAGGGGCAACCCGAATGGAAAGCTTCTGGCCTCCGTTCCCCAGGTGGGGGACAGTGTCACTGGGCAGTCCCAGAATATCCCAATGTGAAGCCTGGCAAGAGACTCAGAGACCACCCAGCCTCATCACTGCCAAATGCTCTCTGCCCTGGTTTTACCCATCAGAAAACTGAAGCCCAGGAGGGAAACACCTTGCTCAGGCCCCGTGACCCCACTTCTAACCAGGGCTCCACCTCTGATCAGGGCTTGGCTTGGTGCTGACAGCGTGCCTAGGTTTGCAAGGTGCCCTGGACGAACAAGGGCAGCGCCTGGCAAAGACCTGCCCTGGAGGGCCGGCGTGGAGGGTGCTGGGGGATGCGTGGGCCAGCACTCTGCACAGCCCCAGAACACCAGAAATAAAAACTATTTTATTTGCAATGTAAAGAATTTTAGCCTGTGGAGATTTTTCAGTTCAGCAGCAGTAAAGGTAGGGACAGCAACCAAATAAGCTGTTAAAATCTGTATCCCCCGCCCTCACCCTTCTCCTAGTCAGGTCTGGGGTCTCTGTTCTGAGCCCCCGAGGAGCAAGCACTGGACTAGCATCAGAGGGCTGGGTCAGGGCCCAGCTCCATCACTCCACCTGTGATCTCTCCATCTAAGCCTGAATCCCTGTCGGTAAACAGTGTGTCCGCCCCGAGCAAGTGCGGGGGAAGAGCCACTGTGGGTTGACGGGAGGGCTGCGGGAGGGGGTGCAGGCAGCCCCTGCCCATGGGGAGCACCAACCCGGGCCACCTCTGGAGGGCTGGACCCCCAAGTGCTTCACTGGACAGTGGCTGGGAACGGAGATGGGGTCTTGGGACAAGCCTACTTTTGTTTTTACTTATTTCATCCTTCTAAATGGCCTTTATTCTACTCTATTGCACAACTAAAAACCAGATCATTGTAGGAAAACACAGAAAAGCAATAAACAATAAAAACTGGTAGGCAGCCCACCTCAAGGGATGATCATCACGATCAATTTGCCTTATTTCCCTCCTTAATTTTTTCTAAGCAGATATATCTATTAAGTGTTTAGTGGGATCACATTGACTTTTTTGTACGTTGCTTTTTTTTTTTTTTCCCCTTCCCATTTTGGTTTCTTTGTTCCTTTTCCAACTGGTTCTGAACAGCCAGAACCATCTCATGAATTTAGGACACTGAGCCACATCTACAGAACGAGGGGACAGGACACTGGGCCAGGAGCAGAAGGGCTGGGTTAGAACTCACTTGCTAGCCATGTGATCTTAAGCAAGTCACCTCACAAGAGGAATGATTCAGGGTGGGAGGAAGCAAATAGACCCAAGGCAAAGAAGATGGGGTGGGAGGGGTGCCGCATGGAGCCTGTTTTCCTGCAGGTGTGAGACCTGGTTCTAGGTGCTCCCAGGTGTAGCCCTGGGTCCGAGGATGCAGGTTTCTTGACAGTATGAGAAGCACTTCCTAATCGGCAGAGGTGTGTGCAGAGGGCAAGAGCTCCCTGTCACTGTGGGGCATGAAGCGGGCCGACAAGCATTTAGCTGGGATGTTCTAGCACACACTTAGGTATGAACAAGAGACCGAACCCCATGCTTGGTACCCTCTTCACTGCCCGAGCCTGTGGTTCTGGCCCTGGGACTCGTTCTCACTCTCTTTTGTGTTGGCGACCATGGTATGTCCCAGACTTTGGACTTTTCATAGTCCAGTAAAATTTCCAAAATAAATTTTTTTTCTTTTTTTGAGGAAGAACTAGCTAGAGATGCCAACTTTCCAATTTTGCCAAGTAAGGACATTTAAAAACGATGTGATCCACAATCACCATCATTTCATCTTTTAAAAATGTTCATTTTAGAGCAAAAATATAAGAAGGATCTAATCCCAGGCACAAGAACAGTTCCTTCCATACACATCTCTTCTTGTCATTTTTCGACTTTTGCTACCAGTCATCAAGCACTTTGTCACTGATCATCCCTGGTCCTCAGACTAGCTTTTGGGGCTTTAGATCTAGGACTAAATTTCCCTCCGTGTCTTTCCAATCTTGGTCGAAGGGAGAAGCTTGCTTCCCAAAATGAGCAAGGAGAGACTTGCTGGGGGTGTGGGGGCCCGAGTGTCCCTGTTGTGTCCTCTGTGGGCCCAATGATGGGAGCTGCGTGACTCACACTGCCCAGAACACATCTCTGGAAAAGGCTGTGAGAATTGGGCCCCAGGGAGCTTCGGGTACGGCTATAACTTGGCTCAGGGGTTTGAGTGGTCTGGGAAGAAAGTCCTGTTTCTCAACTTGGATTCACTGGTGGAAAAAATGGGTTGGTTAATATTGGGAAGGGTCTGCTCGTCAGCAGAGAACAAGGCAGGAGAATGGCCTGGGCAGCAGAGAGCAGTAGGAAAAACCTGAAGATGGGGACACAGTGGTCCTTTTTCACTCAGAAGTTTCTGTTTTCTCTTTGCGGCTTTCTTTGGTGTATTTAAAAGCAAATTAGCTCAATGTTTCTGTTCTTGTAAATAATGATCTTGCTTTCTGTAAACTTGGATGAGTAGTGGTACAGTGTGACCTGGGTTTCTGGTTTCCAGGCCCAGGACGGTGGGTGGTAGGACGCGGGGAAATCCCAAGGTCTCAGAGCTGGTGGGATGGAGGCTCGAACACAACACAGGATGGGCCAACACGCTACTCTGGCCTCTCCCCAGCTCCCCCTCCGGGGTTCCTGAGGGCAGGTGGTATGTGCACAGCCTGGCCTCTACTACATTTCCCCCCAGCATCAACTCTGTAAGCACAGAGAGGTTAGGGAACCTGCCTGAGGTATCAGGAGGCTCCTGAGGTTTCAGCTCCACATCCTTGGTTTCTACCAGTCCCCAGTTTTTCTGAACCTTTCTGATACCTGCTGACAGGCTGGGCCTAGCTGCTTGGAATAGCTTGCAAAGAACCCACTCCCAAGGCTTTCAGCAAATCAAGAGTCCTCATGTTTATTCAGGCTTTTGAGAAATTACCAAAGTAGCAGGGGCAGGGATGGGAATGTTTTTTTTTATTTAAGTGTGTTTTTTTTTTTTTAAGATTTTAAATCAAAATTATTTATGCATGCCAAGAGTCAAGTTGTCCTCTGGGGGTCACCCTCATTTCCCTTCTCTGGAAAGAAACCATTTGCAGGTCTTAGCTGCT